TCCCTTTGACCTCCTAAACAAACGATCTGAGAGTACACTAATACATATCCCAGAAACCCCCCAGGAAGGCAACGAGGGAGGGCACAAAGAAAAACATCCTATATCCCTCCCGAACGAGCAACAAAGGAGTACTCCCATCAGAGTCATCCCACAAATCTGCTGTACGAGTAAAAAAAGAGCGTTTCTATTGTCTTATATTCCTCAGCATGGAGCTTCAAAACAAGCGATTTACATAAAAATATTTTGCTATCTTACGTAGCATTTATTATTTTTTTTTATAACATACACAAATACATATGTATATACGCCAATATGACATCTTACACTAGTAAACAGGTAAAACATACATATGCACATAAATAATGCTAATTGAATAATTATAAAGAAAAATTATATGAACGTTGAACAATATAAAATTATTCTGACGAGGATGCTTCCCCTAGCGAGTGTTTGATTGGTATTCACCTGGTAGAGTAAAGAAATCCAACCCTTCATGTTTCAAAAACTTGCAGCCGACCTCAGACAGAAATTTTATGCTGACTTATGTATGTATGTAAGTGTCTGTAGGCGGTTCGTTTAATTCGTTTTTGCTCATACCCAACGCGACACTTCAAGCCGTTTACCAGCTCTTATTGGTAAAGGTCACTCTTTTCTTTCGATGCCCAGCAAAAGTTCTGAACGCGAAAATATATGAAAGCGCAATCTGAAATGCATTTGAAGTTAAGTAATGCAACCATTAATAAGCTGAGGCAAATGTAGTTATACATGCCGACGGGTCCTAACTTTGGCTGTCCCATTTAATTGATTGCTTCCTGCATTTCTTTTTTCAATAAGAAATATTATCTTTTGTTTTCATGATACATTTTTCCAATAACACAAAGTTTCTTTTGAACGAGGTGCCTGTATAGCTCCACTAACTGTCAAAAGCAATTCGCCTGGATTGCTCTCTTCGGAGACATCGCTTTTTGCTCCTAAGCACGTAATAGCGGAGTACAAAACCGACGAATCTCAATTATTGCTCCGATATCGATTGCTCGGGGAGTATTCTTTAATTGCTCACTTCGTAGATCTCTCGTTTGGCTCCTGAACGAGTAATAAAAAAAATACAAAGTCGACAAAAATCGTTTATTGCTCCAAAATTATGCCTCTGGGAGTATTCGTTTGTTGCTCGCTTAGGAGATCTCCGATTTAACACCTATGCGAGTTGTAAAGGAGGTCAAAACCGACAAATCTCTCCTAATGATCCGCAATCAGGCCAAAGGAAAGGGAGTACTCATTTATTCCTCACATTATGATATCTCCCTTCAAGTTCTAGTGGAATGTACTTTATACATACATATGCTCCTACATAAGTATACTACCAATATGAGAACAGCCTTTAAATACAGTTTTTATTTTAGAAAAATGAGCTAATAATGCTCAGAATTCTTTAAGTACATCGGCCTTTACATTGTGGCTGTTCACGCTTGCCTGGCTATCAGGTTATCTGGTTATGTGGTTATATTTTCTATTCAATTTACAACAATAAAATACGCTACAGAATAATAATTTTTAACCAAATAACCTGAGTATGAAAAACCACATTGGCTTTCCATATCCAGCTGATTGAAGTTATATTAAATTGTTTTTAAATTCTTTTGGCGCTATAAATAAATGTATATGTATTTTGTCCGCATGGCCAGCGCCAACTATTTAGTTAGGTGCAAATTTAACTATTGTGTGGGTAAATTACGTTGATTATGCATCTGCCTACAGCCATGGTATATTTATTGTATTTATTGTTCTTATGTAAATATGTATGCATATAAAGTCATGCAAGGGACGTTGTTATTAAACTGTGAAGGGTTAACGGCAAACAGTGAAGCAGAAAATAGGATTATCAGCAAAAATAAATAGATAAATATTTGCTTTTACTGCTCGCAGTAACGCTGCTTAAGCTACGCCGTAAAGGCGTCTGCTGTGCCAGCGCCAAAACCAACACCAAACTAATTTGCCGTGCAAAATAGAGTATTTTATTAGGAATAGGACGCGTATGGGCGATATTTAAATTGAATTTTCAAGGTTACTTAAATTGATATATTCAAAGTTATTGAAGTAGGGGTAGCCTGTTTGTTAATTAAAAAAATGAAGAAAAAAGTTGTTGTGCGTTAAAGTAGGTTGTTGAAAAAGTTCTAAATATATGTACACTATTATCAGAGGTACGAGTATAGGAAAATCATGTAGTGTGTTTTCACCTATTTTAACTGTTGTTTGTTTGTTGTCTGAGATAGCTGATCTAAAGTTGTATAGAGAGTTATAGTTAAATGGTAAACGCATTTGAAAGCATTGGACGGTACGGTGGAGCTAATTTCTGCCTGGGCATTGATTTATCTCTTATATGAACTAATGTCTATGGGCGCAATTTGGAATTCATTAGTTTTTGAACATAAATAGACTGTGATTTATTAAGTAGAAAGCTATTCACAAATTGCTTTGATCAACATTTATTTTTTTTTTTTTACGTTGGGCCAGTGATAAAAGAAACCGTCTGAGCTTCGGAGTGCCAAAGCAATGGTTAGAAAACAAGAATCACTTTGATGACTCTTACTTCTGTTGTGTTACTTTTCCTGTTGTTTACGTTGAAAAAGTGATTTATTTAGACTTTAAATCGGCTAGAAGACCCTTCTTAAATTAAAAAACAGTACCTATTAAAATATTTTATTCCAAGATTTGCGTTTACAAACCTTTCACTTAAAGGGAATTAAATGACTTGAATTCTCATTTACAAATTTAAGGTTATCGTTAATTTCTTCACGATCCAATTATTGGATCTAAATAAAATTATTACGAGACCACCCCTGAGGTACCATCTTTCCGATGAAAAAGGGATTATCGTTATGCGGTAACATACATAAAAAAAACCAAATACCCATGCTTTTATTTTCTGTGGTACAATAATGCAAGCAAAACAAATAAGATTATCTAAGTTCGGGCGGAGCCGAACATTAAATACCCGGCGCAAGTATTAAATATATGTTTTTCACCTTTCTGATTTTGAGTAAATTAGCGTCCTTAAATTTCGAAATATTGGAGTTTCAAGCATTCCTGAAATTTACCGTTAACCATAATTTTAGTCCGATTTCAATAATTTTCAACGTTTTGCTTTTATGTGGCAAGCACAATAACCATACCGAGTTTGGTACAAACAGGTAGACCGTTACCGAGATACATATATGCGATCACAAGTGGGCGGTGCCACGCCCATTTTCCAAAATTTTGCGAACTGATAAGCTAGTTTTATTCTGCATGTAATCAACTTCTCAATATCAGCAACACTTCAATAAAATAAAATATTGCAAATTTTTCACCTGGATAATTGTCATCTTTTAAATTCTGTCCAACAAAGTCTCGTGACGTAGAGCGTTCATTTTCAATACATAATGTATATGTATGTACAAAAACTTTTTATGTGATAATAAAAAAAAAAATCGTTATACATATGCGTTTTTGGGGCATATATCAAGCATATTTTTAATATTTTGGAGTCATTTAATAAAATAATAATATTATTTTAAATTCATTAGTTACAAAATCTGCTTAATCAAATTAAAAAATAGTTAATAAAAATTAATTTTTTTAATCACAATTGCGATTACTTGTTTAATTAAAACTACTTTAAACATGATTAATGCGAACACTTATTCAATATAACCTCTTGAATTTCAAAAAACCTTTAGCTGTGTGGCACTGAAAACACTGCTGACCAGTGTAACCAATAATTTTTTTTTAATTTTCTCATACATGCTCAAAATGGTTATTCATGCCTGCTTTAATCGACGCTCGGCATTTCCATACAAATAGCATATCGAATTGTGGGTATTTATTTTTTTTAATGATAATATTTTCAACCACAAAATATAAAATAAATAAAAGAAAATATTAGCGCAAAACCGAAAATACATATGTTTCTACTTTTGCTTCCATCATTTCCCTAAAACTGCGGCTCAGTAATTCCAAATCCTTACCAAGGGACACAAATAAATTGCTTTTGTAGCTAAACTTTCATAAGTATTTAATTCAATAACACACAAACTACTCGTAACTGATGCATACATACATACTAGGGATGTTAATTTTTTCGCTTTTATGTCACTATCACAATCCCAGGATCTCGGGATTAGTCCCGGGATTTAGATATTCATTACTTTTCAACAACTTAAATCGAAAATAATGCTTCTATATTGTTTGAGAAGCTCTCCTACCATAAAGTAAATAATAAATAAATGGGTTTGAAACCTACTTTTTTTATTTAAGCTGGCGTTTTTAATTTTGCTCTCTGACGTCAAGATTTATTTTAAAATACTTTGAAATTTCAAAGATATGATTTATTCCAAAAATTATTTAAAAAATTCAATGCAATGCGGAATAAAAATACGGATACCAAATGAAGAAGGAAATTTCTTTAGAATTAAAATAATTTGTTATGCTGATAAAGTTAAATGGACGAGATTCGAGGATGTTAACGTGTTTATATAAGTCCTAAACATACATTTTTTTCAAAAACAAATTTCGAAATTTCAAGGATAAAATTTTATAAGGACATTTTTAATATTTACCAGGCCTTATGCAGCAAAAACTTGAACCCGTTAAAATTCTACGGGATTCTCTCTTTAATTTGATGCCCATACTTCTTCTCCAAGCATATTTTTTACTAAATTTTTTTTAAGTCATTTTTGAACTAGTGACGCCAGAGGGAAAAACTAAAAAACGCAATTTTACTATATTTGGCCCATGGTTATTAAATAAAAGAAAAATAATATAGCCAATACTGTCGAGAAAAGGAGTTTCTATTATTGCCATCAGTGCAAATTACAAATCCCGAAAATGTCAAATAAACCCGGGATTTTCGCAACCAAAAAAAAACTGCCGGGATCTCGGGATTAACATTCCTAATATGTATATACATACGTACATACATATTTACAAATTATAAAAATAGAAGCAAATTTATTTCTACTCACCAACAGCACTTTGTATAGCGGCAATGTTTGCGGTCCCAGCAAAAACTTCACAAATTCAGTCTGTGTGCAATTGAAATTCGGATTATCCGGATGACATGGCCCCATGCCATCAAAATCCTCCTCATCGAAATTATTGTAAATGGTTTGTCTATTTGGCACCCAAGAATCAGCAGCCTTACTCACATCCTTCACGCTTACTGCAGCCCAATCGAGTACACTGCTCTCAGCTCTGCCCGCACCTTCGTCGACAATCGTTGACGATAGATTTGTGGCATTAAACTGCCATTGAGGCAGAGGAAATGACACATTGTGGTTTGCCACATTTTCACTGCCAAAACTATTAGCATAACTGGTGGTATTGTACGCGCTGGTTGTCGGTGGTGCCACCGGCGGTAGGATGTGCAATGTGTTGGTGGCGGCGGGTATAGCGTTAACATTTGCATTTGCATTGATGACTGTGGTCAGTAATTGTTTACTGAAGTCATATATATTGGTGCTGATATTGTTGATTAGTTGGTTGAGCGCATTCTCGCTGCTGCTATTGATATAGTTGTCGAAGTAGCCAATGTCCGTACTATTGACAAAACGTTGCTCCAGAAGAGCGCTGCTGTTATTGAATGTTTCGTTGTACAAATTGCTGGAGAGCAAAAAGCTGCTCTCATTGGCGTGGCTGGTGGGGAGATCGGTGGTTAGATTTACAATTGGCGCAAACAGATTCATTTCGTAAGATTTTTAGGTTTGTAATTGTCTGACGATTCGGTTGTTGGCTGTCATTTTCACTAGTTTTATGTGATTTTTCTTACTTTATCTGTGATTCATAGAATCGTAATTATTTTGTCGTGTAAACTTTCACTTGCAGTATTTTTGTGCACATTGTATTTTTATACATATGTATGTATATCACACATCAGTTTTGTTTTATATCTGAAATCGAATATTCGCCTTACAGCACTCAATTTTTCATTTCGGTTTTTATAATTTTTCAAACCTACATACAGTATCGGTCATATAAATAGCACCCCCACTTCATGTGATATTCTTTACCACGTATGTTTATTTTATTATTTTTAAGAATTTTCTATTAAAAAAAAAAATAGTTTATTCTCTATCAAAACTCATATCGAACCGGATTTAATTAAAACAAAAAAAAAAATAATAATAAAAAAATTTCGTTCAAATCTCAAAGTTTTCACGTTCAATTTAAATGTGCAAGTTTGATGTGGCTAAAAATTACCGTAGATTGTTTAGACTTTTTTGTCGCATTTGTTTCTATATAACGAATAAACACAATTTATTTTTATATGGAAGAAACCCGTAACACCTTCGGGGGGAAAAATGGTAATTTGTAGACAATTGAAACTTGCTTCTTACTACATACACTAAATTATATACTGTAAATACTTCTGACAAAAAAGTTTGAAATTTGGGTGAATATTTTTATTTTTTTCTACAACATTTTAAACTTGCGTTTACATGGATTTAGAGAAGGAACTCTATTATAATTGAAAATTCCTAAAAATGAGCAAATAAACATGAGTGGCAACCAAGACGGAAATGCATCTAAACGTGCAAATGCCTCGTAACCAAGTAAATCTTGAAAACTTACTTAATTTTCAATGGAAAATCGGTTTATATGCGAGGTTTACCGATAAATAAAAAATTTAAATCGAAAATAAATTGTTCGTACCAAAAAAAAAAACGCAAAGTACAAGTTTTCATTTAAAAAACATTCGTAACGCTTAAATAAATATTAATCGGCATATTAACCTATTAACTATTAAAGATAGTTTTTTTTTGTATATTTTGCAGGCTCGAAATTGACTTTAGAGTTATAGTCTAATGCACTTTTTTTCATAGAACTTTATGTAGAATCCCAATCTACTAGGAGCGACGTAGAAAAAAAATTTACCCACCCTAATATAGTATGCGTATGTGTATATATTTAACACATTTGATCTCCGTGTATTTAAACGCAGATGTACAATAAATATATTGACCCGTACTTAAAGTTAAAGTTAAGTCGACTCTATAGTAATGGCAACTTTTTGACATAATTTTCAATCAGATATTTGTCAAAAAAAGCTGCAACTAGTTTTGGAGTCAATTTTATTTTGACTATAACTACGGGCCATAGTTTTTTTTTTTTTGATATTTAAATTTTGCTAAGAAGCAACAATTTATATTAAATTCACATGGCTCCTAAAACAGTTTTAAAGAAAATAAGTTTCACATACACTGAAGAGCAAAAGTGGAGCAATAGAACGGAAAGTTAAATTTGTGGTAATGTACTTTTTCAGTCTATTAACTTTATGCTATTTCAAATTGGCATTTCGCCTTACCGATGTTTATCTAAACAATCGAAATTTTAAGATTCGCATATGAAAACTCAGAAAAAAATGCCAAATAAAAATGTTGGATTGTTTCAGTTTTGCACCCACTTCGTAATTGCTGAATTTTATAATTCAAAGAGGAGTTCTGGCTCATTTCCTGAAATTTTGTAATCAAGACGCGTGGGATTTTCGCTGTGAGTGCTTTAAGTGCTAATATCGAGCAAAAAAAAAAAAAATTTAAGTTTTTGTAAAATGGTCAGGAAGTCCATGCTATAAAAAGAGAAATCATATCGGCCAAAAGTCCGTTTTATGGTTATCTAAACAAGCGATAAAAGGGTTGACCTCAGTGTGCAAGGTCAAGGACCACAAACTAATGCAATTTGCCTGGCTAGGCATATTGGAGGGTCTCTGGATACCAAAAAACTTTGGTTCCAAATCAAAAATTACTGCATTTTCACCAAAAAGGAAGTGACTGGACATTATGTAAGATGTTGATACAAGTTGTTGCAGCACAAAGATAAAGAGGATAGACAGGATGGGAAAATGGAGTTATCATGTACGCCTATCACAGCCAGGTGTTTTTGCCACGTCAAGTGTCCAGTCAGCAGTCTAACAAGTTGTCTGTTATCCCGTCTGCTCAGTGAGAGCAAAAAACTATGTGGACTTTCTGAGATTGGAGGCAACATTAGTTTTGTACACCTACAGCTCCTCAATGCCTCCCAGTCTTTGCTGAGCGAAGTAATCACCCAGTTGCGGACCTAGGAATGCCAACTCTGATGTCTCATTAACAGGTACTCCCGGGTGACTTGGCACCTTGAGTAAAGCAAACTTTAACTAGGTTGGAAGTAGTTAGAGGGCTGGCCAATGCCTTAAGTGCAACTTGGATGTCACTGCAGACACGTAAACTTCTTCCCATCCACCTATTTTCCACTACGTAGTCCATGGCCTTGAGCATTGCAAATACCTCGGCCTGGAAGGCCGAAGCATACTCCCCAAGAGAAAAGTGAAACTTATCAGAGTCAGTTTTGGAGCCATCAGTGAAGAGTGGGCAACGTGCGAGTCCAGGCTCAGTGCTGTTATCAAACCAGCCTTCAGCCGCAGGGAACTCAACATTACAAAAAACCCTTCAACATAGATAATGGTGGCATACTATATGTTTCATTGAAAGGACACAAGTGCTCATATCTCTGCCGCCAGCAACTTCCGCCACGCCCCACTTGGAGTTATACCAACATACGTTTTTTTTAGTCACCAGCTTGGCACGTATGAAGACACAAAATGACGGTAAGTGTAGCAGTGGCCTTACTTACCCGACGGGATTTTAATGATACAAAGAGAGATAATTATATTTTAATCGATGTCCTGGAATGCACCCCTAACACACACCCATTTGTAATTACGAAAAATTGCTAAGAATATATTTTGGTATATTTGTAAGAAGCTTAAAAGCTTTCTTTTCTTACAGAGTTTACCACTTCAAAATTAAATCTTTATTTGATGAAATATTTGAGTCTGTTACATAAATACACCATACCTTTTTCACACAACTTAAAGACTACAACTTTTTAAAATTTTTCATACTTAATTGTTAACGATTCCTACTCATTCAGAATGAAAAATATTCAAATATTTTCTTGCTTTTATAATCACTTTATCACAAAAACGATTATCCACCACGAACTGTACACGCATTGACACACTTTGAGTTATTAAGCGATTTGCCGAAACGATAATAAACACTGCACTTGACAAATGCGAATTTCACTGCTTGTCATCGTACATAGCTCTCGTTCAGCTTTGGACCCCCTGGCGATTCTCACAACGTCATTCAATTATTAACTCGCCGCTGATTAATTGAGCTGTCGACGCGTATTTCGAATAGTTATTTGTAGTTCAGTAAATATTAGAAATTAGCTGTAAAGCAACAACAACAAAAACACATGACCATCTATTAAAAAAGTGTACACGCGTGTACCGCAAAGATACTTTTCGCTCAAACAAATTTTGCCGAATAAAACTTGTTATGCAGTCTACAGTAGCTAAAGGCGCTTAGCTATGATTTTGCACTAGATAAAATTTTGTTGTTGTATACACTTACATATGAACAGATTCATACATATGTATGTATAAATATGTATGCAAAAGTATTTTAAAAGTCACATAGCTGCACAACTGCCGAAAGTTTAAACAATTAAGAAGCTATTAAAAATGTGAAGATAACAAAATCGGAGATGAGAAATTGTTATCGCATTAAAAGTAACTGTTTCATGCATCTTTTATATCTGTTTTCGTTCTTTTTTTCTTTCTTAGTACTCATAAAAAATTCCTCAGTATGGCATATGCTTGCTATATAAATATTAAGATGTAATTAAAATGTCACAACGACGAGTGTTCCCATGTGATGAGATAATAGATAAGTAGTGTGTAGATATACACAGTAGTGTTCATATATTTTGAAAAATGCTGTTTTTAAGATGAGGTTATTCAATCGTACTACGATTAGATTGGATCTTGGTTAGCGTAAGAAGTTCTCTGAATTGGGTATGGTTCACCCCTGGACAGAAACACCCTTCAGACACATATGCTCACATATCGCCACGGCAAGCTCATAGATGCGCTTCTTAGTAATATCTTACCTCAACTTCGAATCGGGCTGCTATATACATATATTCATAAAGTATTTCAACGAAATGTCATAAGTTTGAGTATCTAATGGCCAGGGAACGGATTTTTAGGACCTAAACACCTATAAAAAAGGCAAAATAAAATAGCGAACAAGGCAGGAAAAGGCACTAGGTATTGCAAAACAAGCAAAATAAGGCACTAAAAAAAGACAGAAAATATGAAGAACAATCAAAAAATACATTTATTTTAGAAATGTTTATATTACAAGTAAAATGAGAAAAACTATGAACTAGTTTCATTATATGAGAAATTTTTACTTTGATTATATGACTATTTTATCCTTTCGAGTTTCTAACTCATAAAACTTGAATCTGTATAGTTGTAGTAACATTGAACCACAAGATGCATTTTGAAGTTTTCTGGCAGCATTTTCATTCGATTTTCGCGAAGAAAAGCCTTGAATGTACTAAATTTAAATATGGAACGTTTGAAACGTTCATATTATCAGGAATAAGGGCGTTTTCCTCGCTCTTTACAATTTTATCCACACCCCTTATTGTCTCCAAGCCTACGTTAGCTGAGAAAACGGCTTTGAATTTTTCCAACACCGATTTGGCGATTATGCAATCGTAGGACACTTTACGTATTTTTGGGATCTTCAATTTATACACAGCTTCCAACAAGAGAGAAATAGGATGCTGCCACGCAGATCCGAAAAGATAGTAATGTAGAGGTGAGACTTTTAGTGGTCGGTTCGGTGTAAAT